CTGGAGGAAAGAGGTTTCAGTGCGGCCGAGGGAAGAATGACAACCCATCACTTCCCACTTTGAGGCCTTGAAGACCCTTCTGTCTTCTGAGCATTCCTGTCCCAGGTTCCCACCCCTGGCAGCCCATCTGCCTGGTGAAGGAACACCCACACACTGCACAAGACTCTAGTCCATACCATCTCTGCCAGAGGGATGTCCCCTGCCCCTAGAGAGAGCTGACCGCTGACCCCATATACCCCGTGCCGCCCTGTGCCCTGGATACATGCTGCCATTGCTTGCTCAGGGCCCTGGGTGATCACTGCTGCTAGCGCCCCAGCCGGAGGCTGGCATGGGAGGGTGTGCAGTACACTCCTGAACACCAGGGACTCTGCCCAAGTGGCTAGAAGTGGCATCTCACTGTGGCGGCAGGCTTGGCGAGGTTGCATCCCGAGCTCTGTCCGCCTTTCTGCCAGGCAGCTAGAGCCAAAACAGACCATTCTGTTCCTCCAGAGAGACACAAATAAATAAGTCATCAGGAGCGCTCTCCTCTTCCCTGCCACCAGCCCCACCTCCCAGCTGACTCACTGGCGGGTCAGGCGAATGTCAGGCAGCCTTGCTGTTGACAGGCCCCGTGCATCTTCACAAAGCCCCAACGGGGGTCACAGCTGCGCTGGTCCATCTAGATGGGCTGCCAGTGGGCGCTAACCTCCTGGGATATTGGAACACCTGGCCTCTTGGCTGAGGTCTGGCACATTCCCCAGCATCAGACAAGTCCTGGCTTTCTAGATGCACCTGGGAGTGGCAGAGCCCACTGGCCGGAACAAGGGCCCTGGTGTCCCTTGGCCTTGACTGGGTGGAACAGGTGACTTCACCTGCCTGGGCCCAGCCCCTTCTTCCTTCCTCTCAGAGTAGCTGTGAGGACTAATGAGACAACAAAGGCATCCTGCCCAGAAGGGTCAGAGCTCCAAAGGGCAGGACGGTCCCAGAGGTGGACTTTACCTGGCTCTCCTCACACACCCGGAGCACTCAGGACCTCTTGGCCAGGCAGGCCTGTCCCAACCCATTCACTAACCTATCCTCCCACACCCAGTGGCCCATCCTCCAGTTGTCCCCTCTCTGCCGCAAGCTCTGGCTGGACGCAAGGCCCTGGCCCCGCTCCCTGGGCTCAGGCCTTCTCCCCAAGATGCCCCAGCTCAGGCAGCTAAACGGAGGCCTCCAGGGCTTCTTATCTGAGCTCTGGATTGGCTGTCTCCTGGGTGACCCCAGCCTCTCCTCTCCACAGGGCCCCAGTCTTGCCCAAGTCATCCTCATGACTTCTGCAGTGTCCTAGGTCCTTGTATCATGCACCATCCATGAGCACAAGCCCAGCTTAAAGCTCTCGGGGCCCCTCACCACCCTCAAGAGGAAGCCCAAGCCCCTCCTCCTCTGCCCCCCGGTCCGCGAGGCCCCACCCCATCCCGCCAGCCCCCGCCGCCTTGTCCCATGGTTCCCCTGGCATTTCACACTCAGGCTGCAGGGAACTGTGTCTGGAAACGCTCATTCCTCTGGACTGTGTGGCTCCCACCCTCTTCAACACTTTTGGATACAGGACACCAAGCACCACGCCTCCCTCGTGAAGCCCAGGAGAGCAGAACAGCCTGGGAGAGGAGCTCAGCCCAGCTCTTCTGGGCCTCCATCCACGTCTGTGGGAAGGGCGATGGCAGGAAGCTCGGTGGAGAATAATCAGGAGGGATCCCTCCAGAGCAGTGCTCTCAACCGGGAGAGTCCCGCACCCCACGCTTGGCAGCGTCAGGAGACACGGTTGGTTGTCACAGGCAGTCAGTGGGGAGGGGGCGTGCTCAGCGTCTAGTGGATGGTGGCCAGGGTCTCGCAATGCACAGAGTAGCCCCCAGAAAGGAGGATTAGGCTCCAGGTGTCCACCGGGCCGCGGTGGGGGTCCCTGCTCTAGGCCCTCCATCAGTGGAAGTCCCAGATTTATTAAAGCGGCTCTGGACCCAGGCTGGCTCTCAGCTCCACCCCGACTGGCTGCCTCAGTCGGGCAAGTTATCAATCTCTCCACGCCTCACCTTCCTGTGTGTAAAGGGGGCCAAGGGTGGGCTGCTAAGTGGCTTCAGAGGGTTGAGCACAGAGCTGGCCCCATGCCACTAGCTCCATAAATGCTTGCCGAGGTGCCAGGCTAAAAGCCAAGCTAAACTTCCTCAGTGCGTCCATGCCTCCCCAGGGAAGGGCTCTGTTTTGTGGTCCAACTCTTTATTATCTGCAGCCAGGACCCACTGTGCCTAAACCATGGAGAACTCCGTGTGAATCCCGTGTAAACGTGCAGATCACAGAAACCTGTGGGCTTCAAAACGAGGAGCCCAGACACCAGTCGCCAGAGCCTTGGAGAAGTCTGGCCGTCTTGCCAAGCCTCTGTCTTCTGTCTGGCTTTCAGCTGGCAATGTCAACACTCCAGGGTCCTAACCCCAGTCCTGGCACCGCCCTCCTCCCTCAGGGAATTAGTCTTTGGTCTTATAAAAGGCTTGGGTCAAGTTCCAGGCTTGATTCCAGTCCTCGTGACAGAAAAGACTTGCTGAACTACTTCACACAGAATTATTCTGAGGTCTGAGCAGATGGCAAGATATTCAGGGGAAGCACCCGTGCATTTGAGGAAGGAAGGCTGGGGAGCTGGCCTTGGTGGGAGGAGGAGAGATTCAGAAGATAGTCAAGGGATTTGCATCTCCTGCCTGATCAAAGGGAAGAGGCAACTTCCCCCAAGTGAGCATGGCATGGTGGCAAAACATCCAAGCCCCAATATCAGACAGAGAGATGGAGGCTCAGACCCCCACCCCACCACTCCCAGCGGTGCCACTAATCTCCTCAACAGTCACTCAACAAACACTCCTTGCAAGTGGATTTTTCCTTACCACGAAAAAAATACATCTACCCCAAGAATCAGCTTCAGGCTTACTGGGAAAATATCTGAAGCATCCCCATTAAAGTCAGGAAGAAGACAAGATTGCCTGACAATTTTAAAGATGGTTTTAGAGGTACTAGCCAACACGATTGGACAAGAAAAAGAAGTGAGGCACAAAAACTGGAAAGAAGGAGATGAGATTATCATTGTTTGCAAATGGCATAATCGGACACCTAAGAGAATCAGCTGAAAAAAGTATTACAAAGATAAGAAATTTCAGTAGGGTGGCTGAGTAAAAAAATACGTATTAGGTTTTATCATTTAAGCAACAGTTGGTTAGAACAGTGGTGTCCGACCTTTTTGGCACCAGGGACCGGTTTCGTGGAAGACAATTTTTCCATGGACTGGGTGGGGGGATAGTTCAGGCAGTAATGTGAGCGATGGGAAGCAATGGGGAGCAGCAGATGAAGCTTCGCTCGCTCACCCACTGCTCACCTCCTGCTGTGCGGCCCCGTTCCTAACAGGCTGTGGACCGGTACTGATCCATGGCCTGGGGGTTGGGGACCCCTGGGTTAGAAGATATAGTAGAAGAAAACCCCCATTATAAAATAGCAGCTTGAAAAGAAATAAATATGAACAAACACAAAAGATACGTGCAATATCTATATGAAGAAAACTCTAAAACATTATAAAAGAAAATGTGAACAAATGGAAAGACACATTGTATTCTTGGATAGGAATATTCAACGTCATGAAAAGTCCGTTGTCCTTGAATTAATCTATGAATTTAACACAATCTCAGTAAAAAGTACTAACTAGATTTTTTTTTTTTTTTTTTTTTTTTGGCAGGGAGACTACAAAAGCCAATTCTAAAGTTCGTATGACAAAAGACCTGGGGGAATAGACTAAGAAGACATTAAAACACATCAAAAGCAACAGTAGTTAACACAGTGAGGTACTAGCAAATGTATAACTAGACCAATGAAAGCCATCACAATCTACCCAGATGCTCAAATTTAGTATACTATAGTATACAATAAGTTTGCATTTCGGATCAGTGAGGAAAAGATGGACAATTCAATGATTGCTGTTAGGATAACTGTCTACCCATGTGGGAAAAAAATAAATGTGGATTCCTACTTTACATCCAAAAAAATTACTTACATCCAAATTTTTAAAAAATCTTACATCCAAATAAATTCCTCACAGATCAAAGATTTGAAGGCAAAAAATTAAAACATAAAAGACGTAGAAGACAACACGAGGGGATTTTTAACAATCTCAGAGTAGTGAAAGACTTTCTCTGTAGGATACAAACCCCACCAGACACAAAAGAAAAAAAATGGGTACAATTTGATTACATAACAATTAAAAATTAAGCATGAGGAAAAAAGCATCACTAATTCAAAGACACACTGAGAAAATATTTGCAATGCATCCTATTTCCTTCATATGTAAAAAGTTCCTGTGAATAAATAAGAAAAAGGCCAAAATTTCAATAGGAAATGGCAGAGGACATAAACAGCTCACAGTAAAAGAAATACAAGTGACTCTCAAGCATGTGAAATATGCTGTTTCACTCATAGTAAGAGAAATCAGTGGATGCTATTTCGATCCTATGTGCCTTTACTTAGCATATTCTCACTGCTTTTCTACCAGCAAACTCCTCCTCCTTCTTTACACTCATATCCCCTCCATCAGGGCCCTGGTCTCATGTGTTTAATCACCTTAGGGAAAGGGGCTGCATGGGATTAATCTCTGGGTCAGGAATGTCAACCAATATGTGTTGAACAAATAATGAATGAAAAAGGAACTCAGGCCCCGTGGATTCCAGGTCCAAGCACCTTTCATGCCTGAAAGTCTTCCACATCCTTGACCTCATTTAACTACCGCAGCAGCCCTGAGAGGCAGGTATCACATGCCCATTTCTCAGATAAGAAGGCTAAAGTCCAGAGGGCAGAACAGGTCAGAAAACCTGTCACCTGAAGACTTTCCCAGACTCCTTCCAGGTCCACCCATCCTTGCACTGGTTGCCCAACAGCTGGCCTGGAGGCTGGGGTGTTTTGGCGGCACCCGGACTTGACTGGGGCCCAAGGCAGTGGGGCTGTGGCCCCAGCGCGGTACTTACTTGTGCATGTAGCCCTCGGAGCCGGCCGTGAGGTTTGCCTGCATCACCGCCTGGAACTCTGTCTCATTGCAGCAGTATTTGAAAACCGTGTTGTTATGGTGACAGCAGAGGATCAAGGTTTTGTTGTCCGAGAGCCGGGGGCAGTGGAAGCCAAAGTGATAGCGGCCTTTGTGGTCCGTGTATGGCTCACAGACACGGAAATGCGCGGACAAGACTGGAAAAGACAGTCACCAGGCTCGGTGGGGTCCCTCCTCAGGCCCAGCTGGCCCGAGACCCCCACCAGTCCATGAGGACCACGGGCAGAGCCTGGTTGGCCTATTCTAGGGTTGTGCCCACCTCTTCCTTTGCCAGGAAGGCTTTGTGGTCCAGTGTGAGCCTCCCCTCTGCCAGGAAGACTGCTCTGGCTCCTGTCACCTCCCAGGCCCCCCTCGGCTACCATCCTGCTTATACTGTGCTGTCCAGACTGGGAGCTTCTTGCAGGCAGGGCTGATCTTAGGCCTCACGTGGATCCCCTCCAAGGGCTCTGCACACAGCTGGCACTCAATTAGGAAGCAACACTAACTGAGCACTTACTGTGTGCTTCGCAGGCTCTATCAGATTTAATCCACTTGGCCATCCTAGCAGGCAGGTCTGGGATCCCACTTTACAGAGGGAGGAACCCGAGGCTCAGAGGTGTACAGTGACCTACCTGAGCCGGTTAGAGGCGGTGGAGCAGGAATCCAACCCAGGCCTGCCTGGATCCAAGGTCCAGGAGCCTCTGCACTCCTCCATCACTGTGCGGACTGATGGTGGACTCGCCAACAAGTCCAGGCTGGCCTGGGTGGTGAGTGGCATGGGTGCAAGAACCAGGTCCCACTTGTAGAGAAAGCGGTGTCCCCTCATATCTTGGTTTCTACTAAACTGATGCCCTATACCCGGAGGTCCCCAAGGGCCCGCCTTGGTGGCCCCAGCTCATGGCGACAAAGCTGCCCTGGCCTTGGACCCTCATTCTCCTGGCTCATGGCCAGAGGCCCCTATTCAGCCACGGATGACGCTGAAAACCCAGGACAGTATTTACTAGCTGTGCTGCTGCTGATAAAGACGAGTGAAAGCCTGAACAAACATAACAATGGAAAACAACTTGGAGCCCGCTGTCTCTAGCTTAATTAGTGTCTTCATAAAAGGGACTGCTGTATCTAATTTGTATCGCTCAAAAGGGGCTTCCAAGGCTGAATACATCTCTCCAACCACCAAGGCTCTAGTTCTGCAGAAGCGCCTCAGTTAATTGAGAGCTCTGTCTCTGCTGAGAGGTTATTAGACTCCAGCCCACACAGCTCCCAGCGCCAGGGGCTGCCGAGGGGATCGCAGCTGGGCTGCGCTGGCCGGTGGGCGGGTGGGCCTCATGTGCTGGAGCGCCGAGGCTGGCTTGGGTGGCTTCATGAAATCCTGGGCCCCTTCTCCAAAGTACAGCACCCTCTTTCGTGGGGACGGGTAGGATCACTGCGGGAAAAGGGTCTCAGCCTTTCAGGAGTCAGGGGAGCTCTCAGCCTCGACCCTGGGAAACAGAAGACCCTCTTATGGATGCAGTGGTCACTAAGGAAGCCCCAGGTGGATGCACCATCTCATTTGATCTCATGTATTCCCATTGCACAGAGGAGAAAACTAAGGTTGAGAGCACGAGTCTCAAAGTGTGGTCCCTGACCTGCTGCGTCTGCATCCCCAGGGGACTTGTCACAGATGCAGTTTCTCAAGCCCCTCAGCAGACGTTCTGAATCAGAAACTCTGGGGATGGGGGGCACAGTCTGAGTCTTAGAAAGCCCTGCAGGGGATGTCGATAGACTTGGTTTGGGACCTACTGGCCTGGAGGCACAACGTACCAGAGGCTAAAGGTGAGGCAGAGGCAGGAAGTGAATTCCAGCCACTGACCAGCCCCCGTCCAGATTGATGAGAAAGCCCTGCCGGGGGGGTCAGCTCACACTCGCTTGCAGGAGGCTCGATGTGTCAGCAACACCCAGTGGCTGGTCAAGAAGACAAGCTGGGGCCCTGAGGCCACAGGACCCAGGGAGGGAAGCAGCAGAGTGGTGGAGGGGGCCTTTGAGCTGGGCTTCAGAGGAGACAGATGTGCAGAGATGGAAGTGGGAGGGAGGCCCAGCCAGGGAAGGGATAAGGAGAAGTCCCCAGTGGCTCACCCCGGCCACCCCTGGACAGTCGGCACCACCTGCTTTGACCATGTGCGAAGACAAGGCCACTGCTGCTTCCTGAGGAAGAATGTGCCGGAGCTCGAGGAGTCCTGGCCCGGAGCCAGGACAGCTGGTCTGAATCCTGGAGTGCACAGGATCACCTGGGCCATCACAGCCTCTCTGTGCCTCGTTGCCCTCAAGGATGGAAGACCAGTGGTCTCCCGGGGGCTGGGGGCTCCGAGAAGCATTTGTGAACAGCAAAGCGCAGGGCCCACTTAGAGCAGGGAGGGTGTAAGGGAAAGAGTGGACGATAAAGGACAGCACTTCCGGCCTCCAGGCACGGGTGCACCGTGGCTCTGGGGCTGTGCCTGGGGCCCGAGGGCAGGGGGATGGTCGTTAGGAGGCCAGCGTGTCCTGAGTCACCAGGAAAACCGGCCCACGTGGAGAGGGAACACGAGGGGAGAGCCACTCTTGGGTCTTGGCGTCCAAGATAGGACCCCGATCACCCCCCCCCACACACACACACACATACACACACACACACACACACACCTGCGAGGCTCAGGGTCTGCGTGGCCATCATTTAACAGCCAGGTGACTGTGTCCTCTGACCATGTGACCTCAGGCAATTCTCTTTCCTGGTCTGACCCTCAGCTTCCTCATTTGTAAATGGGTGGGGAGCTCCTCTCTCCCAGGGGACAAGATGACCTACTGCATGAGAAAGCAGCGGGGAAGGAGTTCTGTGCACAGTGGCCCCCAGACGCATGGCCTTGGCCTGGCTTTTTCTCTGCCACCCCAGGGCCCTTCATGGCATCCTTCTGAACCACGACCCCCAGCAAAGGGGCAAAAGGGGCCCAAAGGTGCAGGCCGGTGTCCACAGCCCTGCCAGAGCAGGAGGGCACAAGGGCATAGGTGCATACACGCATGAGAGACAGAGACAGGGACAGGGACAGAGACACAGAGATACAGAGAGGGAGACAGAGGGAGAGACACAGCGAGAGCAGGCACCTTGCTGAGATGAGGGCTCGCGCTGGGTCAGCCCTGCTGGCAGGAGGTAGGGTGCACTTCTCCAGTCGGCCAGCTTCGCTTTGGAGCAGCCGAAGGACTTGGTTCATGTTCATCTTTGTGAACAGGAGCGTGAAAGCCCCCCTGCTGGGATCAGGGGCCCCGCCTAGGGGACTGGTCGGGTGCTGGGAGATGGGGCCCCGGCACCACTCTGTCTGGGTTGGAATCCAGCCCCTACACTAGCTGTGTTGTCTCTGGCTGTCAGTTCCCTCTCCAAGCCTCAGTTTCCTCCTCTGTACAATGGGATGACTACGACACTGCCTGACTTTGACTTGCTGGGGTCAGGAGAGAATTCACTGCACGTAAGGGCTTCTCCCAGGACTTACCGGCAGCCACCGTTAACCCCACAGTGTCCGCGAGAATCTTCCAGCTGAGCTCCCAAGGCAGGCACGTGGGGCACAGCACACAGTAGGTTCTCACCAAACATGAGCCCCTCACGAGGCTGATGCCACTAGGGCCGGCAGCCCCCTCAGCACCCAGAAGCCCGGCTGAGCTATAGCCCTGACACCAGGAAGGGACCACCTCCCCCTCCCGCCTCCCGCCAAGCATCACAGAGGCTCTACCTGCGGAAATCAGCAACGAGAGGACGGCGAGCACGTTCAAGGGCTGCTGGCCACAACTGGTCATCATTTGGCTTGCATCGATTCGTCGAGCGCTGCCTGTCGAACGAGAGCCGGGAGAGGCCGGGTGTGGGCTGTTTTGTCTGCGGTGCAGACACTGGCTTTGCTGCCCATGGCAGGGCCGGATGGGCACGGGCAGGGAAGCAGGTCTGCCGGGAGCAGGGGCCGGGCCGTGGATGATGGAAACGCCGCCATCCAATTTCCTTTCCGGGCTGAATGACCTTCCCCCACCAGTCAGCTGTCATCTCCCTTTCTTTTCACGGCCAAATGAGACTTAATCAAAGGAGGACGGATGGCTCAGGTGGTGGAAATAACCAGCGGTGGGCACGGGAATGAGAACGGTGGTGAGCGAGGGGATTAGAGGCGAGCTCGTGTATCTGCAGGGGGCTGGCGGGACCCACGTCTCCCTGCTGTGTCGCTAACGGTGACTTCCATTAACCCCACCCCACCCCCACCAGCATGCATCCAGCTGGCACCGTCCAGGCATTAGGGACATGGCAGTGAACTAAACAGACTCGAGATGGAACTCAATAGAAGCTGTCCCTGCCCCGGCTTGCATTCTAGTGACCAGGGCTGACAGCTCACAGATGAGGAGTTCAGAGGCTATGAGGTCCCTGGGGTTGCAGCCCGAAGACTGAAAGCAGAGACTCAAGCAGAGACTTGTACACCCATGTCCATAGCAGCACGATTCACGATCGCAAAAGGAAGAGACGACACGAATGTCCATCGACGGATGACGGATAAACACTGCGTGGCACGCACTACAGTGGAACATTACTCCACCTCCAAAAGAAAGGAAATTCTGACACAGGCGGCAACACAGAGGAGCCTCAGTGAAATAAGCCAGACACAAAAAGACAAACACTGTGTGATCCTATTATCCGAGGCCCCTAAAGCAGTCAAGTCCATAGAGACAGGAAGTAGGATGGGGGGTGCCGGGGGCTGGGGGAGGGGGAATGGGAGTGAGTGTCTCATGGGGACACAGTCTCAGTGTGGAAAGATGACAAAGTTCTGGAGATGGATGGTGGTGATTGGAAGATGCGTTGCATACTGAGGGAGCAGCAGGTGCAAAGGCCCTGAGGTGGGAGCAGCAGGGAGGCCAGTGGAGGATGGGGGGAGGGGTGGGTAGCAGCAGGCCGCCTAAGGCAGGGCCTTGGCCCTCAGTGGCCACTTTATATCAGGTTGTTGAGACCTCGGGACAAACCTGAGGGACAGGTTCCCTCACTACCATCACCACCCCCGTACCCCGCCCCTGGGCTCTGGGAACGGAGGCTGCAGAGGAGGACCAAGTGTCCTCTGTGTGGCCTGCTAGAGCCCCACCAGGGTTGTAACTGCATGTGGCTGGGGAGTAATTTGCTGAGCACCTACTATGTGCCAGGCTCCAGGCCAAACAAGGTCCTGCACACTACCCTCTACCCTCACGGCACCCCTGATCAGGGAGAGCTCCGGGACCCCAGCTTGGGTCCAAGGCAGCTCTGAATCCTGCTGACTAGCGGGCAGGCAGGGCAGGAAGCCAAGGGGGCAACCCAGAGGTCAGAAGCTTCGGACCGAGGAGACAGTGCCAGATTCACGGCCAAAGACAGGCTGCTCACAGCCAGGCCCTGCCCCTGCTCTGGGGCCTGGGGCTTCGCACCTGCAGCACGGGTGGCGCGGAGGCACCCAGGGTGTCAGTGCTGCTTGGAAGGTTGGTGAGCCAAAATAAGAAAAGTGGGTGGCAGGGCTGTTGGACGAAGCCTGAACGCCCTAATACGACGCTTACTCATGGTGATGTTGGTGTCAGTCCCTGCCAGTCCCTGGGGGGACCCGCCCACCTCTCTGTGAAGGCCTCTCTGCTCCCCCAGGAGCAGCCCTGCCCCCAAGGGCTGTTAGCTTCTTAATTGCTCTGAGCCTGGGCCTCCTCCCTGCCTCCCTCAGGGCCCTCCTGGGAGGATGAAGGAGATTAAAGCATTTGAAAGTGCTTAGGAAAGGGTTTCATACTGGGGAAACCTAAAGATCAATCCTGGAAAATGCACTGTGGCGGGGGGGAGTGACAGGTCCTCTGAGATGAGTCCTCCCTGCCATGTGGCCCCATTCCGCAGATGGGGAAGCCGAGGGCCAAGACGGGTGTCCAGATTCCAAGCCCTTCTAGCCCCTGAAAGGTGGCTTTCACTTTTCACTTTTTAAGCCAGGGCTCCAGTCTGAGAGCTGGTGGGTTCATGGAACAAATGCTTGGGTGGGGGTGGGGGTCCACCTCTGCCGGCTGCCCAGCCCTCCTTCCTGCTGCTCCCACTCCCTACAAAGTCCTGCGTATACTGAGGGGGGCTATCACTCACACCTGGGGTGCCCTCCTCTCTTTCCTGTGAGTCCAAATCCTGCACCACCTTAGAAGCTGTTACAATGCCACCTCCTCCAGGAAGCCTGCCTTGATTCCATCAGCTTGAAGAAGTTTGTCTCTCCATTGAGGCGTATCATATTCTATCTCTTCTCTCCTTAATGTGTTAATTCATTTATTCGTTCATGTATTCTCTCAACATCCACTTGCTGACCCCCACTTATCCGCTTGCTGACGCCCGGAAAGGGACCGGGTCGGGTTCTAGGGACTCAGGGTGTCCTGGGTGAGGGCGCCCAGCAGCTCTACCTTATGGGACTGGTCCTCATGCCCTCCTCTCTCCAACTGTGAGAGTCCTGGGCCAGGGCCTGGCCAACTGGGGGTCACGCAGACTGGGTGAGACTCCCAGCACGACTGGCACTGGCCTCAAGCCCTTGGCCCATTGGGGGCACTGAAGCAACAGGGCCTGTTGTGGATGTGTGGGTCCCGCACAGCACAGGTGTACCCCGTCACAGTGATGCACTGTGACTCGTCTGTCCCCTGTCCAGCAGGGTCCTCCCTGCGATCTGCTCAGTCCCCTCTGCCTGGCCGTGCGCCCTCCGCCCTGCCTGGCCACCCACGGCTGCCTCAGGATGAGTCAACGGGTGACAAAAGCCACAGCCCTGTTGGTGGGACAAAGGTGGAGGTGGGGGCTGCCCCACCTCCTCAGACCCCCAGGGAAGCTTAGGTGCTGGCACTGAAGGCTGAACCCGTGGTGGAAAGAAAACCCCACCATGTGTCACTGGGAAGTTACATAAAAATTCCATTTCTAATGACCGAAGACAGGAAAGCTATAAGCCAGCATCTCTGTTCCTGGCTCGGTGGGAGAGCTGCTTTGGAAACTCCGCGGCTGCCATCCCTGTGAGGTTTCCATGAGAGGGCCAGCTTCTGAGGGCACACCATCAACAGCCCCCATATTCACCTTAGCCCCCCTGTGGGGTCCGCAGAGGGGGACCTGGGCGTGTCACACTGTCGGGTGCCACCACCTGGGACCCTCCCCCACTGGTGACATTTGGGGGAAGCCCCTCCAGCAGAGGTAGGAGCTGGGGCTGAAAGAGTGAGCATCCCTCATCCTGCCCCCTGGGCCCAGCCCTGGTTCTGGGGTCTGCGGCCGTGGGGCTGCGCCCTGGGACTGGCTTAGAGCAGCTGGACTCTTCACAGGTGCCGGATGCTGGCTTTTCACCATGTTATCTCATAGTCCCCAACAGCCTGATGAGGCAGATATCAAACTCCCATCTCGTAAAGTAGGACACTGAGGCTCAGGGAGGTGAAGTGACTTGCCCAAGGTCACACAGCCACTCAGTGTCTCAGACAGGAAGCAAGCCCAGCCTCGAAACTCACTCTCCCTCCTGGCACTATAGGAGTTTCCAGAGCCTCCGGAGCCCCTGACCCTCGCTCCTCAGAAAACACATTTACCACAGACAGATTCGATTTATTGACCCGGGTTCTATTTCTTTGAAAACTGGTAAACTACCCACAATGGTAGCTGGTGGCCAATGATAAATCTCAAATAACAGGGGGAACATTCTGGATGAGGAGGACCCCCCAAGCTGACTGCCTCTAGAATCACAAGTCAAGCACGCATCTCTGCATCCACTCCTTGGGTCAGCCGGGGACTGCTGTTCCCAGATTTGAGGATTATTTTTAAACACCGAATTTGGCGAGGCCTGAGTGGAGAGGATGGAGGGCATGTGAAGAGAAACAGAGCCGGCGAAGATGAATTAAACCCCACTGGCAACAACAGCAGACCTGTTCTCCATCAGCCAGGCTAGGCAGGGCTCGGGAGGGAGGGAGGGGAGGCGGGCCCTTGGTGTGGGGCAGGGGGCACTGCCACGGACCCTCCAGGACCCCCCACGCCTGGCGGCCCCTGGCTTAATAACTGGAGGTTCCTCATCCTCTCTCGGCTTACCCTAGACCCCTGCTTAGCCCTCCATGACCTTCCCTGGGCGCGGCCAGGAGCATCCCCTCTTGCCTGGACCAGGTCAAGGGCCGGGTGGCCTGGAGGGTGGGCCTTGGGTTTGGGCCACACTGCCTGGCTCCACCTTTTGTAGCCACACCCTGTGTGACCTGGGACAAGTGTCCTCAGTCTCCTCGGCCCTAAAAGGGGGATGAAAATAGTATCTAATTCACAGAGTCCTTGTGATGATTGAATGAAGTGATGCATCAAAGTGCTTGGCATGGGGCTGGTGCTCAAAATATCCGTGGGGAGTGCCGCTTGCCGCTAGATACCTCTGCCCCAGCCTCGCCCACCAATCCAGGTCCTACTGACTTCCTGAAATGCCCATCTGACCACCCACCCACCTCCTTAGGGGTCTTGGCAGCTCCAGGTTCAAGTCCATGCTCACTTCCCAGGCCCCAGGTGGTCTGGCTTGCTGCCTCCTCTGTCTCTCTCTACTCCTCAAGGTTCAGCCCTCCAGGATGTGCCTCTCCTCTGGGCCTTTGCACACGCGGTCCCCACACTGGGGACACCCTTCCCCTGTCCTGCAGGCGGGCAGCCTGGACCCAGCTTTTGAGGTTCAGCTGCGGTGCCTGTCTCTCAGCAAAGCTTTTCTGCCTCTGATTCTCTCACTCCCCCGGGTGGGCTCCTGAGGCTGGCATGGGCGGGAGCATGCTGCCTGATTAGTTTGTGTCCCAGCTTGAGAGCAAATGGGTTAGAGAAAACGGGTGGCAGACGGGGGCGTTGAGAACCCAG